CACCAAATTGTGATTAATTGTGTGTTTAGCAGCAGAACAGTGCAGCAGGGTCAGAGCTCCAAGCCTGTAGGTCTTATCATTTGGCGGCCACCCAACATCTGCTGTGTGTGTGCGTGTATGCACATTTACTGCACGCAGAGTGAAAATGTGTACGTTTTTTGCAGTGTTAAAATGGTTGATGGCCAGTGCCGGGCGAACTTACACCACTCCCGTTCAGCAGCAGCTGCAGCTGCTGCCTCTGCTTTTCAAGGTAAGAACACTCACACACACAAATTCCCAGGTCCCAGCCCAGCATTATTACCCACTCAATCTTACTTGCCCATTAAACTCAATTTCTCTCTTCATTTACTCAAAATGGTGCGTCGCTGTGTCTTCCTACCTCTCCGTCTCACTCTGTGTTTGTCGCTCCCTGCAGATTGCCCCGGTGGAGATTGATGAGAGCTATGATGAGATGAAGCAGGATGCACGCACGTGTCTCTCTCTCATGTCTCAGGGCCTGCTGTATCCCGAGCACATCCCCATGGTTCTCGCAGCACTGGAGGAGGTATGCGCCCATGCACATGTCAGATGGACCTGCTGCCGCTGTTACAAAACGGATTCTGCCCTCCATGTTGTGTTAGACTCAAAACCAATTTGGTCCCTGTTGTAAAATGCCAACAGATTTTGTTCTCAAAGGCTTTTCGGGAAATTTAGAAACTGGAATCTGCAGTTTCTTATTTAATCATGGACGTGAAAAAACAGTGCAGCAGTATTTCTCAGTGTCGCATGTGGACCTGCTTTGGGACCTGTTTTGCTTCCCATATGGATCTGAGTGGCTGGAAATTAACCATGCAAAACAATGTGTAAAATATTTGATTCTATTTTTGATTTTAAGAAATGGATGTACTCCGTAAAAAAGAATAGTTTCCTGAAACTGAAGCTTGTATCTGAGGCGAAATCCTATTATCATTTAATGATTTTGAAGCGATGATCCATACCAGCTCTCCCTTACAGCTGCAGATGGTCCAGAATGCTGCAGCACAGCTTGTATAACAAACACACATTTATTGCACTTCTTACATCTCTCTTGCTTCCTTTACTTTTTGGATTCAGAGACATTTTATGGATTGGTTCAATTTTAACATTTATTAGGCTTGCTATTTGTTCTGCCCTATTCTCTTTAAACAAGACCATTTGATTTAATAATGAGCTTTATAAATCAACTTTATCCAGTCTAGCTCACACTCTCAGGGGAAAGTATGATGTCACACGCTAATGGGACCTAAGGATGATGTCATCAGTTAAGGTCACCAGGGCAGGTGAAACCAAGCTCATTCCCTGTTTTGCTAAAAGAATTGACATCAAAAGTAAAGCCTCAGACTTAATTGACTTAATTTAAATGCAAAGGAATATTTTATTTGCCACATTTGTTCTCACCAAGGCATGAAATCATAACATGTAGAAGAGCTCAAGAAGTAACGTTTTGTTTCTCCACAACTGCTTATTGTTTGTACTTTTAGGAGAAAAATATCTCCCTGTGCCTCATTGCCACGTTCCTTTTCTCTTCCCTGTTGTCTTACTAGATGGTGGGCAACAGATCGTGGCATGCTCGGTACTCCGTACTGACCTACCTCCAGATCATGGTTTTCTACAACTTGTTTACGCTGCTCAGTTTGCCCGCTGAGGTTCTCAGCATCCGAAAGCTGGTGATGCAGCTGCTGCTCGACGAACAGCTTGAGGTAATATATTTACCAGAGGACAGCAAGAACCCATTTGATGCCAGGCAGTGCGCTTCTGCTTTAATTCTGAGAGGATTATGAAGAGCGACTTATTGTTGCCTGCCTCTATCAGTCTTTTCTGTTCACGGTTAATGCTTGAAAGTAGCAGTCCACCAGATTTCTTGGGGTTTTAACTGATATGTTGATAGAGCAGTCTTGATGTCTCTTGAGGTTGGCATTTAAGAAATCTAAATATGACATAATAACATTGTATGTCATATTCAACCCCATTTTCAATCCTCATTTATCTACTTGCACAGGACAGGTGGGAAGTCAGCAATGACCGTGTTAACAAAAAATATTCACTTTTAACAAACTAATTTGATCTAAATGAGCTATTGCTCCTAATATAATAATATGCTGCATTCCTGGTCAATGCCTTGGCTAGATATCAGTGTCAGTGTTAATGCATCAATTATCACTCGCTGCTTATTCATGATTTATGTACAGAGATGCAGGAGGGCTTTGATGATCTGCGGGTGGATTTTGCCACAGCTCTGCTCTGCATCTGTCCCTCCTCCTCCTCCTCCTCAGCTCATATCTAGACTCTGCATGTGTATTTTGCCCTTAAACTGCCTTGCAGTCTCCACTGAATCGTTTATGTCAGTTCCGATTTTCACAGCTGTTTTTTTTTTTTTTTCCACTTCTGACGTTTTCCGTCCCTTTGCTCCGCTCCCCTCTTCATCTCTCTCCCTGAAGGTGAGGGACATGGCATGCACCACCCTCAGTGGTTTACTGCAGTGCCAGTTCTTCCCCCTGGACGCCAGTCTGCAGACACAGCTCCAGACGCTGAGTCAGACTTGCCTCCCCAAGGCTAGAGGAGAGCTGGCCTCCACAGGTACACACGCACACACACATTTCAGTGCACGTCACAATCACATAATGAGACAATCACATTAAAACCTGCCCTATTACCCTTTCTTGTCCCCGAGGAAATTTGAGCCTTGAAATTTGAAAGCCCATTTTAACACTCCGTTTTTTGTGTGCGCGCGCGCACTTGTTTGTGTGCAGACTTAGTGCGGCGCCATGCTGGAGTGCTCGGCCTCAGTGCGTGCATCCTGTCGAGCCCCTACGACGTTCCACACTGGATGCCTCAGATACTGATGGACCTGAGCGACCATCTCAACGACCCGCAGCCTATAGAGGTGCGCACACACACACACACCCTCACACTCAAACATCCTACACAACAACAGTGTGAGCTAAAAAAAAAAAAAATACAATTTCATTGTCCAATTGAGGAGAAAATTATGTCTTTGGCTTTATGTCAGGCATGAAGAGAACATACAAGGTAATCCATAATGCAGCCTTTGAATGATAGATTACAAATACTGATGATAATGAAGTGCTTCTCCTTTCCCAGAGTAAAGAGATGGGAAAGAAATTGCAGCTTAGAATATATATGCGTAGTAAAACGAAAGGATCGGTCTATTGTAGGGGAAAGAAGAACGTACCTGTAATTTGAAGTTAAATTATAATGACTTGAATTCTCTTTTTCTCAAGCATAATAACTTTTTGCAAAAGTTTTTTGCAAACAAATTCCATATTTAGGTAATGATTAAATCTTTCAGTTGCAGTCACCCAGTTTAATTCTTTGTTTCACTCTCCTATCGAATTGAGTAAAGATGTTTCGCTCTAAACAGTTCCTACATTTCATTTTCAAATAGTTATTTCAGGCATTTTAACATAAATAAATGATCATTCTCTCATCAGTTTTTTAGCAGTGTAGACATGTAAGACCATTACTGAAGAGATTGTCAGCTGCTGTTGGATCCTGTTCTGCATTTTACATTTTGTTTCTCTACATCCCAGAGAGGGAACAACTTCATTTTAGCACTCTAAACAGGAGACCTAAAAGTGCAAGTCATCGTTGTCCTTGTTTGACTTCTGCAATTACGTTTAATTCAGATTTTACTTAATTTTTTTAAAGGCTGTTATCAACAATGTGTTTCTAACCTTTCACAAATTAAATAAGAAAAAGCTTCCATCAACATCTTGTTGCAGGACGATAGAAACGTTCTTATATTGATTCAAGCATTCCTCATCCATTCATAAAGGCAAATGAGGCTCATTAGTGTGCATTTTTTTCCGTCTTTAGCCAAATTAGTCTGGTAATAAAGTTTAGGTCTGGGGATGGCTGGAGCGTATACCAGCCAATAACTCTAATTTCCAACTTTGAATAATGAACTTTGTGAGCAGGGGGCCTGTCAGCCTCACACCTCTGTAAAAGCATCTTTCAGCAACACATGCTGCCCTCCAGACGTTTTACAGGGAAAGCCTTGCTTATTTTCAGCAGAACATTGCCAAACCACGATCTCCATTCTCCAACAGCTTCGCTGCAGTAAACGAATCCGCCTGCTTTCACGTCCTGTCTGAAATCCAAACTTGTCATCACAAGATCAGCTTGCCATGATGTGATGTTTGTACGTCTGTGCGGGACATGCATGAAAGTATGTTGATTTTTGATTTCCGCCTCAAGATGACGGTGAAGAAGACGCTGTCGGAGTTCAGGCGCACGCACCATGACAACTGGCAGGAGCACCGGCAGTGCTTCACTGACGACCAGCTGCTCGTGCTCACCAACCTGCTGGTGTCGCCCTGTTACTACGCCTAGATGGGCCATCTGCCTTCCCATGTCCATTACAGACTGACTGTCAGCTACCACGGGAAAGTGATTACACCTCTGCGCGCCTGATGAGAACGCCAGTCCTCCGCTCAGCCGGGTACAATAATGTCTAATAATGGCAGCCAGGACATCTCCCTCAGGGACCTCACGTGTCAGTGTAGGAAAGCAGCTCAGAGCGAAAGGGTTCAAAATTTCCAACGGCTTGGTGTGTTCATTTTGTTTACCAAGCAGCACAGCAGCCCCAAAGGTGGCCAATTTATACAAAAGGTGTGCAATAAATCTTTTCCTGTGTTTCCTCTGTCCATACACCAATTGGCCCAGATTTATTTTTATTCCTCATCAGTATTTAAGTCTATTGTGTATTTTAAATGGATCTTGCAAATATGTACAGAGATGGAATAGCCCATATTTAATTCATAATTGTATAGAATATATGCTAAAATCAATATCTTATTTCTAAATATAACAGTTTCACACCTGTTGCGTTATCCAACGGTTGATAATACTTTTAATATTGATACACACTATATTATCTCTGGCCCTGCGATGGACTGGCGGACTGTCCAGGGTGTACCCCGCCTCTCGTCCATTGACCACCGGGATAGGCTCCAGTTTTCCCCGCGACCCCATTAGGGAATAAGCGGTAACGATAATGGATGGATGAATGGATATATTATCTCTAAAAATGAGAATAACACATGTGTGGGTGATAAATCGATATGCTATAATATTACATATTCCTATAAGAAAGTATGCTGCGCTGCATAATAGTTGGGCACAGAGAATTTATTGTTTCCTGCATCACTTTTACAGCGAGATCAATTTTAGAGAAGACGGCAACCCATATCGCATTCAGCAGCTGTGCATCTGCGCAGCACTCATACAAAAAGGCTTCTTCTTGCACGGATAGTTTTTAGTTTTGTGCCAAAAAAGTGTAATGTTGCACAGATGCCGCTACCGCCAATAAACACTGGTAACAAGTTTCAAAACTCTCTGTGTTTGCATAAAAAAAAAATAAACTACAGCTGAATCACAAATAGAGTTGTCACTCGTTTATTCTGCATATTTGATGCGGTTTGACGTGTTCACCGTTGCTGAGACGTACACCGGCAGAGGGAGAAGAAGCTGATCGCTGATTCTGGAGCTCCGATTCTAAATTCAGGTCAAATTTATTTATAAAGCACATTTAAGCAGGGCTGCCTATTTACAAAAAGCTGTGCTGAAAATAAGCTGAGGACAGAACTTTTACAGGGAACTGAAAGTCCAGACATGCATTATGTTTTAAGATGAGATTTTTTTTTCAAAAAGAATTTTTTCTGTTATTTAAGGGCAACAGCAGCAAAACCCCCCTCTCCCAGATCCCAGGGCGGCTTAGAACAACGTAAGCAACCTAAAAAGCATGTGTGGTTACAGGGGTTTAGGGGGATACAGTGTTTAGCCCATAAAGTGAAGACAACAGTAAAATCTTATTACCAAATCATTTGGTTTAGCATAATGTTCAAAGCCTCAAAATGAGAAACAATCTGCCAACCACCAGACATAAATAACAACAGTGATTTCAATTTTGCCCTCATTGAAATACAGAAATTTTCATTAGACCAATGGGGAGTGGTAGAGCGTAAAAAAATAATGGGTTACATTCAGAGCCCTGTGGCACTCCACAAGACCTGGGCTGATAGAAAAGTTAGATTAAACGGTTGGAACGGTTACTAGCAAGAGACATGAGCAAGACTGATAAACGTTTTACACACTATTGTTTAAATTTATTGAAAAAATCTAACTTTCTGGTACAGCTTCTCATTTTGTCAAATCAATTGCATATTGTCACAACAAACAAACTGTTTATTTTAAAGGAGAACAAAAAATTAGGCAAACCGAAGAAGGAAAGAGTGCTGCCTCTATCCCAGCTGCGAGCTCTGAGAGCTGCAGTTTGTCATGGGGAGGGGGATCTTAAGCCGAATGCTGAAATTACCGTGCTGGTGTAGGCATTTTAACATAAAATGTTGAAAACATTCATCATCATAATGTGTTACAATAGTAATGTGCACTTACTGTAACACAACCCACAGGCTAGTGTGGCCTTCTGCAGGTGTGGGACCATATAGGAACATATATTTGACTCGTAGTCCAGTTGATGTTTTGAAATTTTAAGCATTTCAAATAAGTATTACATAAATATTCAAACTATAACCAGCCAATTCATTTCCCTTTGAGTGTTTAATTTGGAACATAGTATGTGATTCCTGCCAATAAAATTACATAAGTTTCCATTTTTATTTTTTGTGAGGCAGCTTTTAGATCACACTGATTTACACTGTTTACACTCACTAAAGTGCATTTTATACCCTGAGATTATCTGGCAAATCCAACCTAGTCAGCAAATTAATGACTGTTCTTATTCTATATTAACTGCCCACCATCTATGATAGGTTTTTCTGTGCGTTTTGCAGCCGTTCTCTTACTAGGCATTCAAGAGAAAACAGATGTTTGTCTGAGTCCTCTGGCAGGATAGTCCTCACAGCATCAGCGAGCTGAAACAGGTACTCGGTATTCTTCCCGCTTGGTCCAGAAGAGTCGATGATTTGATTAGCTATCTCCTCAAGAGGTGCAGGGCCAAGGTAGTCGGGATTGTCATCAGAGCCGATGTAGAGCAGAGTCTGGCTGGGTGAGGGAGTGAGCGATGGGCGGGGGTGGAAGGTCACCATGATGGCCTCGTAACCTCCCTTTTCGCGGTAGTCCAGGTAGCTCTTGACCTCCTGCTCACGGCCGGTTGGCAACTTGTATGCAACGCCCCAAACACATCCCTAATGGAGGAGCAGGTGATGAGACAGAGCAAGTTTAATTGTCTGTCTCATATTCACACATCTTCTGAAGGAACAAAAGTTTCTTCCTTTTCCTTGTTCCGCAGGAAAAACAGGATGTGACGCAACGCAACATCTGAAGCCTTAATTACCGTTAGTTAAATCCCATTTCATTATGTCTGTTTACTTTGTGATATCATCATATTATAATTCTGCTCATATAGCCACTTACAGCTAAATGATTATGAACACGTGTAAATTATAGCCCTCAAAATGAAATCACTATGTAAATAAAATGCTATCTTGTTTGTGTCCTGCTACAAAACATATAGATCGTTACACAAATGATTAACTACTAACAAACATAACATTCTATTTTTGGCACTGAAATAAAATGGTGAATGAGTTGTGTCCCTTATGAAAACACTTCAGGATAGACGTACTAGCTTAAGTTTCCTAGAAGGAGCCTCCCTGAGGCGTTTTTATGACGTTGTATTTAATTTATTCTTTATTTGTACTCATATGTGATTGGTTTCAGTGATAAATATTAAGTGAAACTATAGGTGGATAAAGTGTAACTATTAAAATGAGAACCATTGTTTTTTTTATTCTAATTTACAAAGTAACTTATCAAGAAAAAAACAGGCAATGAAATAACTTCTGTGGCCCTTGCTACAAATGGAGGAAAGATAAAACACACCTCAGGATCCTCCACCAGAGTGACGACTCGACCAGGCTGTGAAGAAGAGAAGACAGGATCAAACATTTTGAGTAAACAAACCACCTCAGAAGCTGAAGAGGAATTCAAATGAATCTTCTGAGGATTAATTAAAACAGATCATGGGATTTATCTCAAAGGTCACAGCCATGATTTGACTTGTGTGCTGACACAAGTTGTACGGGACAGGATTAGTTTTACTGATGAGCTTATTACCTGAACAGAAGAAAAGTGCATTTTGCTTTTCAGAGGGAGAATTTAGAGGTAAATTTAAAATCATTTTCTTAAAAGTCACTGGTTTATCCACATTTTTTAACAGAAATAAAAAGAAACAAATATCAATTAAAGAAAAATTCTCAGTAAAACAGTAACTATTCCCTTTGCCTCAGAAAACCTTCCATCTGCTGTTCAACAAAGAAATGTTTTCTATTCTCATTTCAAATCTGAGGTCTGCAAAGGGCTTATATTGGAAAAAAACGTGTTCTCTGGGAAGTGACTGGATTCGGGAGTTGATTTCCTGTCCATCTTCAAGTGAAAAAGGTTTAACTCGCTCAATCTTAACAGCAGCCCTTACCACCATCGGACTTGAGTCTGTAAATAATGGAACAACCATCCACTGTGTCAGCCTCCCTGATTTAATGTGGACAAACTTGTTTTCAGATTTTTCTTGGCTTGAACGTGCTGAAAGCATCTGTAGTCTCGGAATAACTGTAACTAAAAGCATCAAGGCAATCCAGAAACCAGGGGACAACATCTTCCTGTTGGCTTCAGATTTCTTTTCTTTACGTTCTTGATCCTTTAGTTTTGTTCAAGATATTTTTTTCTCCTTGAAACTGTGCCTAACCTTTGTAACAACTTACTGACTCTTGAATTCCCCTTCTGGGGTCGTTTACATTTTCTGGCTCATTTTACCTTGAGAAATCAACACTGTAAATCTGGAAATAAGTTAATTATTGTTGCCCAAACATTCAAATAATCTAATTTCAATGAATGATGGAATTGCCATGGTTTTGAATTGTAGAATGTGCAGATAGATAGATAGATAGATAGATAGATAGATAGATAGATAGATAGATAGATAGATAGATAGATAGA